CCTTGTATCTACATGGTGTCGTTGCACTACCCACCGCTATAGACGCTTTCAGCGAGTGAGTTACTCGAACTGCCACCAGTCGGCGCGCCCACGTTTGCAAGTCCGGTCTCAGGGCGCCGCCATCTTCCTCAGTGGGGTGCGCTCTCGGGAGCGGCCATAATCCGATTACGACGCCTTAGCAAGGCTTCGTAATCGGATTATGACTGGTCCAAGCGCACCCCAGACAGGCAAGATGGCAGCGCCCTGAAGCCGGACTTGCAAACGTGTATAGCCGCCCTTCAGTTTCTCGCCGTTGCTCCGCGTTGTGTGCTGCACAGGCCACTACCAGAGCTTCGTTTTCGTGTTCATTCACGTTCCCCGTTGAAATCTTGTATTTTCTTTAGGTTTTTTTTCGATATTTAGGACTTTCATTTAATCATTTGATATTTATATTTCGAAATAGCTCTTGTATTTTCTTATTTATGGAATGGAATCGGACAGCGGATGGGTCGACGATACAAGATTACGAGGCTTCAATGACCATGTAAGTTCATCCCATTCTTACGTTTTTGTCACTAATAAAGGGCAGTCAACACTATTGCGACATATGTAAATTGCAACTGACGCAGTAAGGCTATCGCAGACGTGCTTCTCGCTGCATGTGCGCGCTCGTTTCCGTAAAGCCGACCCGCATGTCAGCGATTTAGCGTGCGACGAGACGAGCCACTGAGACTTGTTATTTTTTTTTTGTTTCTGTTTTATTTACAAATACTGTCGTTCGTCGCATTGCTCGGTTTTTTGGGGTGTCTAGAAAACCTCGCTCACCGTCTTGGTCGCTTGCTCCGTCGCTTCCATGCGGTTTGCCTCGTCGCACGACTGACTGAGCGATAGCGAAGCGGCCGGGTCGCCGTCGCTTATCTGGTCGCTTGCCAAATCGCTTACATGCGGTTTATACTCAATTAATTTCCATGCACACAGCATTGAACCATTGGGGTCTCGATATTAAGTATAAACCGCATGCAAGCGATTTGACGAGCAACGAAGCAAGCGACGGTGACCCGCTTCGCTGTCGCTCGGGCAGTCGCGCGACGAGGCAAACCGCATGGAGGCGACGGGAGCAAGCGACCAAGACGGTGAGCGACGTTTTCTAGAAACCCAAAAAACCGAGCGATGCAACAGGCGACAGTGAGAAATCTTCGTCGCTGACTCTCGTCGTTGTTGCCGTCGCTCGTCTCGTCGCACGCTAAATCGCTTACATGGCGGGTCGGCTTTACGGAAACAAGCGCGCACATGCAGCGAGAAGCATGACTGGATAGCCTTACTGCGTCAGTTGAAATTTGCATATGTCGCAACGGTGTCGACTGCCCTTTATTAGCGAGAAAAAACGTTAGAATTGGATGAACTTGCATGGTCTCCGAAGTCATAATCTTGTATCGTCGATCCATTCGCTGTCCGATTCCATTTCATAAATAAGAAAATACAAGAGCTATTTCGAAATATAGATATCAAATGATTAAATGAAAGCCCGAAATATCGAAAAGACCTAAAGAAAACACACGATTTTAACGCGGAACGTAAAAGAACGCGAAAACAAAGCTCCGGTGGTGGCCGGTGCAGCACACAATGCGGAGGAACGGCGAGAAACTCAAGGGCGGCTATGGCGGCAGGGTCACGTGACGCCAAGATGGCGGCGCCCATGAAATGTTGCCTGAAAGGGTCTATAGGCCAACGCGCTCTGTGGCGTACCAACTTGTTTTTAAGTTTGTGTGTGTGTGGGGCGGGGAGGGGGGGGCAAACCACCCCCCCCCCCCCCCTTAGGGCCGGGGGGCGGTGCCCCTGCCCCTTGGTATTCCTTGGGCGCCGCCGGCCAGTGTTTGCCCTGCCGAGTGGCGGCTGTTTCAGAAGGTTGGTGATCATTTGAGCCCCTTCTCGTTTCGGCCATCTCCCTTGGGCCTTCTCAAAACAACCATTCTCAAAAAGACCTTCTCTGTTGGACCTGTCGCATTTGGTCCTTTCCCGTTTCGTCCTTCTCACTTGGCCCTTCTCAAAACAACCATTCTCAAAAAATATATTCTTTCTTGGACCTGTCGCATCTGGCCCTTTCCCGTTTCGTTTTTCGCATTCCAACCCTCCTCATCTGGGCCTGTTCTCGTTTCGCCCTTCCCACGTGGCCCTCTTCAAAACATCCATTCTCAAAAAATATCTCGCTTTGACCCGTCGCACCTGACTCGTTCCATACCAAAATCGTGTTGTAGGGTAATATTAATAAATGCATTGATATATTTCGTGCGTGTGTCTGCGTGTGCCACACTACCGGCATACTCTCTCTAGCTGCTAAGGATTTTAGCAGTGCGTCGAGGTCGTCGTGAAAAACTATTAGCTGCCAATAAAACAGACCAACTATTTATCACAGCCAGATCATATTCCGAAATGTCACGTTGTTTGAGGTCTCTCGATTTGGGGCAATGCCACCACTTCTATATGCAGAGGTTTTCAAATGGGGGTCTGCGAAGGCATCCTAGGGGTCCGCGAAGCCCTGTCTCATCAGTACGTCACGCACGGCAATATTAGTTGTCTTCACGTTGAGAAAAAGCGTTTCAATTTTCGGGTGAGTACTCTCGTGTGTATGTCAATGAGATAAGTCTATATACTTCACACTAGCAATTAGTTATATCCGTTTATTAAATCATTATAATTTCTACAAGGGGTCCGCGAAACATTAGTGGTCGAGAACCACTGCTGCTATTTCTGTTCAAACAAAGTTTCCAAATTAAATGCTCATTGTTTTTTTTGTTTTTTTGTTTTCGTTTGCTTAGAAGAAGGGAAGCAGGCGTCATTGTACGGTTCTCAGTGTGTACCTCTACACATAACATATATCTGATGGTATGTTGGGAGCCCAAGCAAGGTAAGGCTCATCAACAAAGCCGCGAAGGCATAACGACGTTAGAAGCATGCCGAACTAGTGTCATTCGGTCGTAGCGCGAACGGGCGAAATGAGAATGGGTCCAGTTGCGAAAAATACAATTTGGATCTTATGAGAAGGTTCAAACAAGGCGGACCAAATGAGAATGGGAGGAAATGCGCACGGTCAAAATGCGAATGGGACGTTTTCAGATAACGGGCAAAATGAGAATGGGCCCAGTTGCGAAAAACACGATCCGGATCTTATGAGTAGGTTCTAACGAGAAGGACCAAATGAGAATGGGTGGAAATGTGCAGGGTTCAAATGCGAATGGGATGTTTTGAGATACACCCGTTTCAGGGGGGCAAAACACATGGCTTGCCCCCCCCCCCCCCTCCCCCCCCACACACACACTGAAAACTGGGGTGCAAGCGCCCCCCTTGACCTCCCGGTTGGTACGCACATGAACGCGCTATTTCCAAATAAGCCCACACGAGGCCAACGCACAGTTTCCACATGAGGTGTGGGCACTGCGCCTGCGCAGGATCCAGATTTTATTCTGCGATCGCGCCCTGCCAATAGCAGCGCCACCGCCGCGGCATGACGTCAGGGCCGCGTGTTGGCACCTAATAACGTTGCCTGTTGGTCAACGACGTCAGCTCAGTCACGGAACTGCTCAATGACGCTGCTTGCACCCCCTAGCAGAACCCCCTCACTCACCACGACTCGACTCCCATCGTTCAACGCGCCGGACGGCTGTTATGGTAAATGCAGTGTATTCGATGAAAAGTGTGCGTTTCCAAGCACAGCATTTTGATGGTGTTCCACCGTACTCTGTGGAACACACCGTTTTGAAACGAAAATCCAGATGGCGCTTCAAACGAAGGGAGGAGGTTTGAAGTGAGTGGGGGGGGGGGGGGGGGGTACCCCTTTCCGAGGGAGTTCCACAACTGAGGTAATCCAGTAACGTTGGTGTAGGTGCATACATGGCTGGAACGTGACGTCATTGCATCATGCTTTTGGTCATTCCCACTCGTTCGTGCCGACGTTACTAGATTGGCTCAGTTACGGAGCTGTCCGGCTTGCACGAGCGGTACTCACCCTCTCCCCCCTCGGCTCGCCTCTCGTCATTCGACCCGCTACCGTTTCTGGGGGACGGCTTCTATGGCAGCTGCTGCGCACTCTATGAAATAGGTATGTTTCAAAGCACAGCGTCTTGATTTCGTTTTGCCGTACTAATAGAACATACAGTCTTGAAACGAAAATCTAGGTGACGCTTCAAACGACGGGAGGCGGACTCAGGGGTGTGAGGAAGGGGGATACCCCACTCCGTGAGAGTTCCACAACTGAGGTTATCTTAGTGACGTTGGTTTATACCGAGAAGAAACAAAATGGTGGTTCGAAACGTATGCTTCGGAAGGTGCCCGTTGTGTATTAAGGCTACTATACTCACAACGGCCGCTGATTTGACGTCGGTGCAAGCTATGTAGTATATTCTTGCATAATGCTCCTTGAATGGGTAACTGTTGTGGGACAGCACTAGACTTGCACCAGTCTCGTACACGTTACTAAAAACAAAAGTAATCGATTAAAATTACAATTAATCTCGCTTAAAAAGTACTCAATTAGATTACTCGATTACTTTAGAAGAGAAGTAATCAACCGCTACTTGAAACAACCACTACTTTTCTGATTACTTCATATTTTCAAAACGACAAATTTTTCTACCCGTTTGAAGACGGGTCTTTCGTATTGTTCAATATTGAACTAGGATAACTGAATTACTAACTGCTTCTTACTCCATCAATTTTGCTAATTGGTTCGTAGATTCTTTGGTAGGAAACTTGTACGAACAATGGGAGCTACTAAAAGCCGAAGAATGGGGGAGGGGATAGTGACTGTTACAAGTAATTTTAGTATTTCCAAAATAAATCAAATTATTCTTATGTTCACTTCCTAATCAATGTATTCGAATCGTTACAAAATTACTAAAAAGAGTAATGTATTAAAAGTAATTTGATTACTTGTAATGAGTGCCGTGTCTGCTTGGCACCGTGAGGCGCGCACTCCTGTGGACGTCTAACCCGAGGAATGATGGAACGGACTTCTTGTGGCGCAGGTGTGGGCTACGCGGCTGCGGTGATGTCCTTCTGGCTCAACTCGTACTACATCGTGGTGCTGGCCTGGTCGCTGTACTACATCTACTCGGCCCTGTCCTCGGACGTGCCCTGGCGCACCTGCGACAACTGGTGGAACTCGCCCAACTGCAAGTCCGAATACGAGTCGTACAACTGCACCCCGACACTGCAGCACCACTGCCCCGACCCGCTGATGCAGCGCAGTCCCGTCAAGGAATACTGGGAGTGAGTATTCGCGACTCCAACAGCCCATAGGTGGCGCCACTCTTTCCAACATGGCGGCTAGAGTGAGGGTCGGAGCAACGTTAGGTCGGAGATGAGTGCCTGTATAGTGTGCTGGCTTTAGTGAGCGACGGAAACAATTCTCGAGGAAGCTATTGGCGACGAGATGTTTTTGGTGGCGCCGCCCTCCTATGGTTACCTCTCGTGACGTCATTATCGTGCGAACAACAAGTTCGTTGGTGCTTGTAATGAGCATGGTGGAAGCTTTAAATCATTGTGCTCTGAACCCAAAACTGCCAACACCGTCCAAATTGAAGTTCTTGCATTACTCTTATTTTCGTTGATAAGAAACCCTTTGCTAAAGTCATAGTCAGCTTTCGGCCAATCGTGGAAGGTCGATCACAGCGACGCTTTCGATCGCTTACGTCGCCAATAGGGTGTTATGCGCGCAGGTCACACTTTTATCCTGAAATCCGAAGCGGCGTTTAGCGTAATATTTATGCCAGAAGGTACGTTTTAAATCAGGAACGAAACCGAAACTAACATCTAATTTGGATATAATTTCTCGATATAGGCGTTATTTTAGGTTTCTATCCTAACTAAGCATGCGTGTCACAGCGTAATTATTTGAACTGAAGAAATTGTCTGCGGAAACTTTATTTTGCGACATACGTGTCTGATCCAGGCACTTCGAAACATTTTGAAGAGTTCAGTGTCCCCTTAAAGACATGGTATTTCATACACCTTAGATGTAACATACACTATTGTATTTGTTGACAAAATTAGCGGTGATATTTATTCGTGTGTCCTCAGTGCTGTTTTTACTCAGGTATGTTGTCATGTTAAGTATTGAACCGCGCGCCTTTTAATGGGTTTTGGGGCTTTTGCAATTTTTCACAGCAGAAGAAGAACAGAATAAATCTAAGTTTTACAAAATAAATAATATGATGAGTTTAGAATATGTTCACAAAAAGTATTTATTTTAAAAAGCGCCGTTTTCACTGCAAAAACACAAAAACGAAACCCGTGTCAGACGACAAAAGTATATGTGTGTTTTGAAGGCCACGCGTGACGGAGAGGACTTTGTATTACATCCAGTGTTTATGTCTATCTTGATAACGAAGGCAGTAGGTTTTCATACGCTAAAAAGGAAACAAAATGAAACCGTTGTGTAAAGACTATACCGGTTAAATGGCGTACTTTAGTGATTGTGGCGTTCATTGAGGGCGTACATTACCGCCATTTGTATTAATAACTATACAATTAAGGCATTTTAGTACATAGTTCTTCAAGCGCCAAAATAATTTGTTGCTGATGACCTAATTTCAACCGAGCGAATAACTATGGCAATTGAAAGTTCGCAAATTGTCATCACTGGTGCCAATAGCAACATTTTTAATTACCAAGCTATAATATAAAAATAATCTAAAATCAATGAAAATATTCTAACCAGTCTGAGAAATTCACGTAAAATGAAAAGAACTGTAGGTAAAGCATGATGCTATAAGTTTTGCGACTTTTGACAATCGACGAAACTTCCAAATTCGCCGCCAATCCTTCCGAACCAAATGCCCCAATATACACACTTTTTTTTATTACAAAGCTTTTCAAAACATTTATTTTCTTTCATATTTACGCGCCTTCGTTTTGCCAATCTTAGCCTTTCCAAAACGGACAAAGCGTTAACGACAAGCGGTAACGCCTTGTCCGTTTTGCCGCCGATCTCCTCCCGCTTGGTAGCACGGGCGTAGCGAGCCACCGACGAGCGCCTGGCCTGTGCTTTGTGCGCGAACACCGTGGGAACAAAATCTGGGCGGTCTCGATCAGACGACAGTTTCACTGCACAAAAGCAAGCCTCGTGACGGAGATTGAAATGGAAGCCACTCTTCAAGAAAGTGCTTGCCGCACAAACGGATCGTCCTCGCGAGGCGACCATTCTTTTCGATCCACAGATATTAGTCAACTTCTGCGCCTTTCAGAGTCCGCCGGGAACTTGTGGAAACTCACTCCGGTACCTTTGCTGTACCTTTCAGTGTAATTAACGGCTGCACAGCTTTGCGGAATGCTGAAATGCTACGACGCCCATGCGAAACGCGCGCCCTTCTGCCCACACCACCCGGCTCCGGCGCGATCGCAGCGCCACCGCAGCTCCGTGACGTCAAGCCTCCGTAGCGATTTCGCGCCCTGGCATTTAGCCTGGATGGCGATATCGCGATGCTGACGTCAAGGTGTTCACGTGAAGTCATCAGTGTGACGATCGTCCCACGCCATAATGATCCCACGCCACGATGAGGTGGTGTGTGATCGTCGTCGTGGTCAAATAGCTAAATTCAGCGGAGAAAGTTCCCCACTAAATATATTCCTTTTACCTTAGCACTAATAAGTCTCTAGTCCATGCTGTGTTGTAACTTCCTTGGGCTCTGGATGGATGGATGGATGTTAATGGCTATACCCTTTGTAACGGGCGGTAGCTTGCGCCACCTGGCTCAAGTCTAAAAAGACAACCATGATTCCTCCCACTCTTCTAAGCCAATTTTCTCCCCCTAACTATCACCAGGCAGTGTGGGATATCACCAGGATGACCTTCGGGGGTTGGGCAAAGAATCTAAAAATATCACCCCCCGCCTCTTTCACCCGTAGAGGGAGTCGCCAAGTTTCCTCTGGTCAAACCTTGTCGGCGTTACCCCAGCACCGGACCCACTGGAAGGCATGGTTGAGATTTTGGGCCGGAGCCACGCGGGAGGGAGTCCCAATTTCCCCCGTCCCGCCTGTCCCCAGCTGTGCCTGTCAGTTGAGCATCACTAAATTTTGCCTAGATAATTTCCACCAATATTGTAATCGTCTCTTTGTGACTGGAAACCTTTTCTCTTCCGTCCTTCCATCGTCGCTAGCAAAACTTAGGGCCCCGACCAGGAAGGGCAGGGCGAAGGGCAGGGCGAAGCCCCGTGCCCTTCAAAACCAAGTGCTGTAGTGCGTCATTATGATTATGGCAGGCAGCCCATAACGTGTCCGTCACCTGAAATTTAAACCTATACGTTCCTCGTCCTCTGAAAATTGTCGTGAATATGTATAGACTATCACCGTAAACTTTATACTGGACATATAGGGCTGGGACATGTGTGCGGTGTGGCGTTATGGGAAATATTCAAAGGCCGTTCAACTAATAAGTAAGTGCTTCGAGTCTCGAACTCAATGGTAGGTGTTCTTGCACGGTGCGAAATGCACGCGGCGTTGGAAAATACCACGTTGTCCGGTGCCACTTCATTCGCTGGATTACATACGGCAGTGCTCGTGCATCATACAAAAGACATGGTGTTTCGATGCAGACTTGATGACATAATTATAATGATTCAAAAGCGCAACAAGACGACGGACACAGAAGTAAACACAGACACAGCGTTTTTTAATCATTATGAATCCCCAACTTGCCCAACTTTCTACCCTCGACACAATTATGTGCGGGCACGCCTCGTGCATGTTTGAACCACATAGTTGCTTCAATTTTTGTATGTTTCCAACAAGTTTGTTGTGCGAACAATGTTACAGTACCGTCATACAAGGAAGAAACACGACTCAGATGCAGATTTGCTTTTGTTTGATGTATCAGGAGTGTGGCTCTGCTCTCTGGAGCGCTTCTCGAACGTGTCTGCACTCCTTCCAACCTCAGGGACAGGTCTTGTAGGCTTACCAGCAACGTGTTGCTTAGACCTAGTTACTTTGTTTTTCGGTACCGAAGTAACGGATGACCTAGTTACCTTTTAGGAGAATGAACGAGTAACCTAGTTTCCTTACTTTGTTGACGAGGTAACGGGCAACGCTGCTTAGTTACTCCTAGAAGGGAACGCTCACCAACACAAGTCCCAACCTAGTTCTCACGCCTGTTGTTCACTCGACGAGAAAGCGCTAGATAGACCACAAAAAAAAGAAGTGCACAAAGTATATCAACATAGCCCTCAGTTATTTCTTCATGAACGTGTTAAAAAGCGACGAATTATTAACGGCGACAAATATTGGAAACGGATACTGCCTCATAAAAAACGACACAATCGGAATAACGAGAAATCAACGCGTTACGTTCAAGCTGACGGAACGCGTTCCTTTTGAATGGCAGTAATGAGTAACGTAGTCAGTTACTTTTTGAGCGAGTAACGAGTAACACTACTCAGTCATTTTAGTTCAGTAACGTGTGCGTGTCTGGTCAGGGGCAACGTCCTCCAGATCACGGGCGGGCTGAACGAGCCGGGCGACCTGCGGTTACCGCTGGCCATCACGCTGTTCATCGCCTGGGTTCTCTGCTACTTCTGCATCTGGAAAGGGGTCAAGTGGACGGGCAAGGTGGTCTACTTCACGGCCCTCTTCCCTTACGTGCTGCTCTTCGTCCTCCTCATCCGGGGACTCACGCTGCCGGGCGCCTTCGAAGGCATCAAGTTCTACGTCCTGCCGGACATGAAGCGCCTCTCGGACTCCGTGGTACGCCATCCGTACTACAGAAGTTCACGAACGGCCATCGTGCGATGCGGAGCGCTAGTTCGTCTGCATCTTTTGGCAGGGGTTCTGGTGATGCCAGAAAGCTGAGCTGTGATTGGCTCAAATGGCAAGGATAGTGGGTAGACCTCAAAACAAGCTGCCTTGAGGTCTATCCACTATGTTTCAATCAGAGCCAATCAGAGGTTGGCGTTCTGACGTCACTACAATTCTTGCAAAAGAAGCAGACGAACTTACGTTCAACATAGAGCCGTCTTCGCCTATCGTGGTCGTGACTCGTAACTACAGGGTGTACACTGACTCTGTAGATCCCACTTGGAGGCTCTCCATTAATCGGGTGCGTAACGTATCGCGCTAGGAATTTCTACAGAAATGCCCGAAGGTGGTGGAAGCTTGAACTAAAATTGCGGAAAGAGTGGCTCGCCTAAATAAATCACGAAAAATCCTGAACTATGTTTTCCGTGTACTTTTCATGTACACTCAAATAATATTTTGTGTCACTGTGGCGACGAATAGGTAAGCAAATTGTATCTTCCTCCCATTTCACAGATTTTTTTCAGCCGTAATAAACGCCACAATATCCCAAAACAATTTTTAAGTGATTTTGGGGGAAAAAATACTTCTCGTTATTTTTATAGACAAAACTAGCTTTAATTTTATTTATTAATTTTTTTTTTACTGAGAAGCTTGTAACGGCGTATACACGCTGTATACGGCGTTTTCAAAGAGGCGGTGAAGAAAACCGTTAGTGGCAAGTTCATCTGCCTGTTCATGCAGAAGCATTAGAGCTGATTTACTAATTATGTTTCTGAAAAAAAAATCTTTTTTGACTGAAGCGTCTTTTCAAGGCCAAGTTGGACAGTGGAAGCTTCCCCATCTTAATTGTGTGTAAGATATTTAACAAAATTTGTTTTGCCAGTGATATGAAAATTTAGGCATTACACTGTTTTTCTGTGCTGTAATTGTGACGTCACTTTGGCCAAGGCTACACATCTTAAACGAGTAGAGCTCCATTAACACTTTTAGTTTTAAAAATTAAAAATCAATACTAGCTTCGTTTTTTTTTTGTGTGTGTGTGTGCGTGTTAATTTTTGTGTGTGTGTTTGAGTTCTTTCATTTTTGTTCTGCTCAGGTGTGGATTGACGCCGCCACACAAATATTTTTCTCGTATGGCTTGGGCCTGGGCTCCCTCATAGCCCTGGGCAGCTACAACAAGTACCACAACAACGTCTACAAGTAAGTAAGAAAACGCCAGATAGAAAAATCTCCCCCCCCCCCCCCCCCCTTCCTCAACCCTTCATAGATATTGATGCAACTGGAGAAATAAAGTGTTCTCTAGATTCGCTCTAAAAAGAGCACAACGTTTTTATTTGAATCCCAGGATTATCGCATAGAAGAGAGACTGAATTGAGTGAATTTAATTGGTGAGTCGATCAAATAAGAAAAAGTTAAAATCATATAAGCCGAAAGAGTTTTGGTAAACTTTTGAAGACGCCAGCAGTCTAGCAACCACGGCTGGAAGTCCGGCAACCTTTAAATCATATGTTCCCTCCACCATTTTGTGCTTATGGTGCATAACACACTGTGGCTGTATCTTGATACGATAATACGTCATTAGGCGTCATCGCGAAGTTGACTGGCTCTAGCGGGTAACATTCACTGGCCAATCACTCTCAGCATAAGCTGCTCCGGGGGGCCAAGGACAGAATAAAGCGTTCCATCACTCTCGGGGTCGTCGTGGGTCCTTTTAACCCCTCCAGGAGATACGGCAAATGAGATTTGAACAATACCCACCAGGTCACGGGGAGCGCTCATTGGATATTATTCGTGGCGCTGACGCAAAGCGTGCCTGTCTATGGACCAACGCAGGGACGCCCTGATCGTGTCGTGCATCAACAGCGGCACGTCCATGTTTGCCGGCTTCGTGATCTTCTCCGTCATCGGCTTCATGGCCCACTCCCAAGGGAAGAACATCGCCGACGTCGCCGCCTCAGGTCAGTCGTCCTATATGGCAATGAAGGCTTTCATAGCGGGGTAATCACCGTGCTCCACTCGGAGGTCAGCAGGTGCATTCGCGTACGGGCCTTCGCCTTTCTGCTTCGGCTTGCACGCCTCCCAGGAGATTGCTTGTGTCCGAATCGAGATTCCGTTTTTTAGTTCGTATAATGTGTAGTTCACCTTTAAGCCCCCTTGGGAGCGGTGCTTCTGCACTGGAAAGAGTGCATTTCTGCGGTGAAGAATCAAGCCGCCATGTTTGGAGGCATAGCGACTTTCTGCAACGTTGTAAACATCTAAATTACTGCAGGTTTGACTTGTCACTCCCAGTTTGGCCCGTACAATGAGAGCAGTGATTTCTTTCAAATGTTCTGAGCGAACATGCCGCGTCTTTCTTGTACCATCATATTGCTATTGTCAGCGTAAGCGCCACGCATTTCTATAAAGAAATAGTTTGTCCGAAGGCTGTCCCCGGAAGCCGAGTGTTTAAGAGATTGTTAAAACTATTGAACCGCTTTATATGATTATGAAAGTAGACGCATTGTATTTGTACTTATTTATATTAGTTCATCCTTTTAGTTCATTCTTTCATCTTCGCAAATATGTTTCGTAGCACTCCCGGCCAGCAATTTCAAGAGCAGCCATAACCAGCTAATACTAGAATTTGTCCGGTGTTTTCTCTCGTGTTGGAACTCAGAACTACGTCTTCCACGGACGTATTTTGGCGTCAAACTACCCAAGAGGTGTCGGTAGTTGACGCCCCTTCTCGTTTCCCAGGTCCAGGTCTGGCGTTCCTGGCGTATCCATCGGCCGTCCTCCAACTTCCCATCTCACCGCTCTGGGCGGTGCTCTTTTTCCTCATGATCGTCATGCTCGGACTCGACAGTCAGGTGAGGAGGCGTCAAGGCCTTGCCAGATATACCATGCAATCTTTGACGGGAACACATTCAAAGTTGCTGCCGTTGGTCTCATGGATCTCCATGGAAGCGTGGATGATGAGCGCGCATAGTCAAGGCAACGCTGCCTAACATGCTCCGGCATAATCGCGGCGGGCTAGCCCCGTTGAGTGCACTTCTCACCAAGCACATGTGCACTGCAGCAAAGCAATAACCACGGAGCCGAGGATTGCTTCCCCGCAGCGCACAGGTGCTCGTTGAGAAGCGCACTCAATGGGGCTCACAAACAGCGATCAACACTTCGATAAGTACGAATATCGCAGTTCGTCTCGAAGCAAATATGAGATGGCGCATTATTCGAAACTATTATTAGATTATTCGCACAAAGCTAATTGTAATAAATTGCGAGTTGCTGGTGCTTTACTGCGATATAAGCTATAGTCGTTGCCTCCCACCGCCTTTCGCTTTAGCAGAGCGAACGCTGGAGAGGAGGCAACCTCCTCTCCACATCTCCTACGCTCGCCTGCTACAGAAGTCGGCCTTTTTTTGTTTACCTCACTCACTCACAGCCAGTTTAAAATAAATGTTAAAAGCTCACTCATCCTCACCCTCACGGCCGCACTCATCCTCAAGTCCTCACTCGCAAACTCATGAACTCACTCACAAACTCACGCCCTTCTTCGAAATCACTTATTCGCTTACCAATCTCACTCACTCAGAAGTAGTTCTCGCCCTCACTGTAGTTCCGGCGCTGGCGCTCGTGTTGCACGCGGGTTGCGTGACTTTGTAAACCCCGCCACGGTCGGTGCCGTCTTCCGCCGCTCCGGCCCCAGCCGTCACGTCCCACCAAGTTAAGAAATGTTTTGTAGCGTTAGCTACCCTGGCCGAGGTTGAGCAGTTTTGCGTGGCCCTCATAATGAGCCGTGCTCATTATGCGAGCCGTGCTCATTATGCTGAGCGCGCGGCGGCGGAGCTCCGCATAATGAGCACGGCTTGCATAATGAGCACGGCTCGCATAATAAGCACGGCTCATTATGAGAGCCACGCGAAGCCGCCGCCGCTATCGCCTCAAGTTCCACTGCGTCGAGCGCTTCAGATTCCCTTGCGAAAGAAGAGCAGATCGCTCGCCTGGAAAGCCACCACCGAGAACAGAAGCTACAACTCCGCTGCTCTTCCTTCTTCACCGAAATGGAAAGGCTAATCTTTTTACTTTTTTTTTTACCTTTGATATTCAGGTTATTTCACAACTACTGGTCCCCTAATTCGGATATCCACGTAATATTTGAGGAGGAATACGGGCGCGGTCGTGCATTTTAATTAAACGGGGTACAATTCTTCAATACTTGTTTTGTTATACAAACATTGGTGCGCTTAATCTCTTCGGGCAAGAAAGGTTGCTTCCATGCACACTCGCGCATGCACATATATCGATTTTTTTTATTTTTTTATTTCTTAGGTTTGAATCTTGTCCCCTCTCTTGTTACTTACTCGTGCGAATATATTAATTGTTGCTAAAAAGAAAACTTGCGTTGCTCGTAAATGACTGGGACGTGCACCGGCGTGAGCTGTACCGGTTGATGAATAATAATAAATGGGAATAATCACTAATGTATGAATACTATTGGAGCTAGTAAGAAAACTCTCCCCGGCACGCGAAACGTTTTCAGGTGCAGCTAGTATTCCGACTATTCTCGATGGCCCCCTCTTGAACGACTAGCGGGGTGTCGGTTAGAAGGTGAGGAACGCCAAGGATTTGTCCTCACCAATACTAAGCGAAACACAAAAGATAGTTTCATATCTTTTTAATGTAATCTAGAAACTTGTCGTCCGCAATTGTTTTATGCCAATCAACTATCGAATCAACTTTTATAGGCTACCAAAATAAGTGTAGCAGAATTTTAGCCCAACTGCGAAGAAGCCTGGCGCTTCGGGCGTAGTGGAGCACGAGGACGGGTATGCGTACTTTTTCCACAGAACCCCAGGCCACAACTTGAACAAAGAAGTACACAGGCGAATCGGGACAGTTCTCGGCCGGATTCTGTTTTACTATTCGGTTCAGTATAAGTGAACGCGCCTAAAACGAGCGCACTGGAAATAGCAACTCCTGCCTTCAGGGGTACAGACGTAACACCCGTTTTCCTCCTTCAAGAAGCGAAACGGTGCCTCGCAGTCGCGGCAACGGCCGAGGCGAGCGGGAGAGCCCTGTTCTCTCTCTCATCACCCCGCTACGAAGCAGTGACCAACCGCGAAAGACCAGGCCAAGCCTCCGCGAAGCGAGCTGGAGCTGAAGAACATAGATAAATCCATCGGGGTTTTTTCTTTCTTTCCCATCACTCGTAGCGAGCCAGCCGTGCATAGCCGCACGAGGTAACAGCGCCATTGAGAAGCGAGCGTCGACTCAACTTCTCCGGAAATGAACGGAGAAGTCATATGGCCCGCCCTTCCTCGACGTCACATCGCAAACCCTCATCGAAGTCATGGCCCGTCAGGGACCTCACGCCTCGCCAAACTCATGAAGTCACCGACCTCATAAACTCACGCCCCTCACCGAACTCACGCTTCTCGCCGACCTCACGTCTTTCAAATGAACCTCAAACTCACGAGTTTTTTATGCTTGCGAACTCACTTACCCTCACGTCACGCCTGATCAGTGAGGGTAAGTGAGGTGAGTGAGTGCACTAACGAGTGAGTTTTGCCGAGTTATGTTCTGCTAAAGTGGAAAGAGGTGATGCTTTTCTGCTTTTCTTGTATGTATATTGAAGCATCGCCACTGATTCGGGCCCACCTGGATCACTCACTGGGACCAGTCATGTCCATGTCTATGCCTCGCCGTTCCGACACGGCCGGAATGCACGCAATTGCATAAGACCTTTCACTGTATACTAATAACTTTCCTCAACTTTTCCTCAAAAACGCATGGGAGAACGGACCGCCATAATTTACTGAGGGAAAGGCTGAGAGCTGGGTCAGTTGGTACTAATTCATAATGAAAACAACAACAGGGCGTGCAAAAGTCAAGGACACAAGGAAGACATGTACAAGAAACTAGAACTCGTTCTCAACTGAAGGTTTATTTTCACAAACCGTGATCAGGACGCTGGGGGAGCTTGATACTCTAAAGAAAGATCTGCACAGTGACACTGAGAAAGAATTTTCGCGGGCATAGGTTATGCTCTAAGCGTTCTTAGCTTTAGACATATTTTTTCCCTGGTCATCCTCCGAGCTCCCCCTTCCTAGGTGGCAGCTCTCCCAAATGATCTGCTGAAAAGCAGACGCACTAGATTTCTCGGAGAGGGTTTTGAGCTTGCGCGCAACGATACGTTTGGACTTTCCGGGCCGCAGTTCTGCACACTCGAGGGCTTCATCACGGCTGTGGTGGACGAGTGGCCGCGCCAGCTGAGACCTCGAAAAGAGATCTTCATCGCCGTCGTCTGCTTCGTCTCCTACCTCATCGGACTGAGTTTCGTCACTCAGGTGAGCGCGCTCCGCCACACAACATATGCCAAAAAAAAAAATAAAAAAATACGGGACTTTTTTTGCAGAACACGAAGACAGCACCAGTCATGGTGAACAGAGGGATCGCAATAAATGACGAAGCTGCTAATACGATTAGATCTGAAAAATGCGATGTTAGCATGACGTATATCTCTGCACGCATAGCTTTTGCTTTTTACTTAATCGTGTTCCGAGCTTTCGTAATTAGAGAATTAGTATTGCGTATATGAACAAAAGCAAGCGCTGTGCGCTAGCGTTGCGTGATCCACGCTGCGCATGCGCGTAGTCGCCACGCGCCAGTCCAAAACCGCAGTTTGGATTCGACGCACGCGCAGTATGGAACACGCAACGCTAACGTTGGATACTCTATACTAAAACTATGCGGAGCGCAAGTTTGTCTGCTTCTTGCACAGGGGTTGCGATGATGTCAGAATGCCGAGCTCTTATTGGCTGACTGAAAAGAAAATAGTGGGTCGACCTCGAGGCATGTATATAGCATTGAGGTCTACCCACTATCCTCCAATCGAAGCCAATCAGGGCTCGGCGTCTTTCTGACGTCACCGCAACTCCTGCGCAAGAGGCAGGCGACTTGCTCTACGCATTAGCTAAACCCCGTATTGCTCTCTGTGATTGGCTGTCTCCGTGTTCCTCATGAAAGTTAAATCCCCCGATTTTCTTTTCGTCTGCGTTTGAAACTCAGGTGCGCCATGCTTCCTTTCATCCTACTAGGCAGGCGAGGCTAAAAGCGCCGTTCACACTCTTACGACCGAGTAAGACCGAGAGAGACCAGACCAGTTTTCAAGCCTCTTGCGACTTCTTAGGACCAGCTCCGCTGCAGCGGAAGACGTCGCAGGAGGCTTAAAAACCGGTCTGGTCTCACTCGATCGAAGTCGGTAGTAAGAGTGTGAACGGGCCTTTAGTTTCGCGTCTCCTCCGCGTGGGGGGAAGGATCACTGGGAAAAGGCTGTGCTCCGATAAGACACCGAAACCTAGAAAAGCGTCCAGAATGGACGTCTTTTCGGAATGCCGTAAAATGCAGCGCCTGTCTTACACGGGCAGAAACTGAGAAAGAGGAGGAGTCTTCAGAGCACCGAGCTCTGGTTCGAATGATTAGGGGGTAGACGCGAAGCTATGCGGAGAGCACTAATTGAAAAGCTAATTAGTACAATTTACTTTATAATTTAGCTAATTAGTACGCTTTTTTCTATCCCCGAAGGCCGGCATAGCCTAGCAGCTTGTTCCCGGAAAAAGGTGTTTTTTTTTTTTTTTTTTCAATCACCCTATTACGATTTATTTATTTTTAAGTATTCGCCGATCCCCCCTGTACATCAGTGAACTCTTTGAAAGGAAGTAGGCAGGTCCAGGTTTGTTACCCTGCCAAATGTCTCGCCGTGATCTTGAGTGCGCATTGTCCATCTCCATGTTTGCAGGGCGGTATGTACGTCTTCCAGCTCTTCGAATATTACGCCGCCAGCGGGTTTGCTCTCCTCTTCCTCATATTCTTCGAGGTCGTCTCCATATCCTGGTCATACGGTAAGCAACGGCTAAGGCTGGTTCACATATTCGGGGCTGTTTACGACCATTTACGTCAAGTGGACGAGACCTCAGACAAGAGCAGACAAGAGTAAAGTCCCTGTACCTGGGAAAAGTGGCGCATTCTCTTCCTCCCTTCTTCAAATTTTATTCGAACCAGATGCCAAAGTTTTAGAAAAAACCGTTACCTTACTCAAAAGTTATAAGCGATTTTCTGAAAATTTTCAACGGGAAAATTGTGGCCCACAGAGCTATCGGAAACACTGAGCTGAATGGCGCCTGTTACCGAAAACGGGCCCCATTTCCGCAATTGTACTATCAGAAGATCGCTTTTTCAAATAAGGTAACGGTCACGGTCTCGAAACTTTGGCATCTAGCCCAGACGGCAAGCGCTACCTGTGGGCGGGGAGGGTCGCCGATGCATACTTCACATCCGCCATTATAGAAACAAAATAATATTAAGCAGAATTAATCGGGACACGCTGCATATTGGTTTCGGTGTCCTTGACAGGTGCGGCGCGCTACTACCAGAACCTGGAGGACATGATCGGCTACCGCCCCTGCATCTGGTGGAAGATCTGCTGGGTCTTCCTCACGCCCTGCGTCTGCTTCGTGAGTCATTTGAGCACTGTCTTCTCGTCGAGACACCGGTCTCAAAAAAACACGCCCGAAATATGTCTTCGTGCACTCGAAGAAATCGAGAGCGTTTATGCTTTCCCGGAAAACACTTGGAACAGCCAATGAATGGAATCCACGGGGGAACTCGGCCAATCCGAGGGACAAGCTAATATATCTGTAAACCGTAGAAGACAGTCTGCGTTCTGGCAGCACTGAGCATGACGTTCCACCGTGTTCATTGGCCCTCCGTAGAATGCCGCGATTGGCTCCCCCAGCTGCATTACGGGAGAGCAGAGGCTCCAGGTTTTTTAAGGTACTCAGAGCAAGAAGTAAAACTACGTCTACAATTCATCTAGGATCAAAACTAAAATGTACAAAAAGAAAAAAAGAAAACAAGCACGCACAATGTTTAAAACATTAGTCGAAACACACGTCTAAGATAACGTCGAACGTGAGTTACAGAAAAGAATCAAAGAAAAAAAGCTGAATAGTTAGCAGGTGCTAAAGAGTTCCGGGAGTCTAATCAATTTTGTAACGATTAGAGTACAATGTTTGACACCACGTAAAAAAAAAAAAATGTGCCACATACGGTGACGTACCTTACATATGTTTGCGTGGGTGTCAAAACAATGGCAGGCTCTCATCGCTCAAGTAATTTTACATAAAAAACAACGAAAATCGATCATTGAGCAACAGCAACGACCGTGAGTTTATTTTCCTGCAGAGCGCGGAGGAAGCCAATTGGTGTCGAACGATATAAAAATAACCACGAATGACGAAGCACAAAAACAGTAATGGTAATGAGGTAATGTGTCTCGTCATCGCAGCCTTTCTGCCCGAGTTTCCGAACCTAAATCGCTCGGTCACGCCGACTTTCACTGTCTGTGCGTTCCCCAAACGACCGAGTTGCCCCTCTTGGTCCTCGCAGGGGGTCTTCGTGTTCAGCCTTGTGCAGTACCGACCCCTGACGTACATCGACTACGTGTACCCCTGGTGGGGTCAGCTGGTCGGATGGTTCCTGGCGCTCTCCACCATGCTCTGCATCCCTGGATACGCGATCTACAAGTTCATCGTCACCCCCGGGGATCTACGCACGGTACGCGGCTTCATACCGAGCGGGCCCTGCACCGCGATTACAGCGAAGCTGTTTATGGCTAGGGTTCCATGGATATTTCGTGTGCGTCAACAAAAACTCAGGTCCCGAAGTTGATGCAAAATCGCTTCATACTGTGCAAAAGCTTATACGTCTCATCGCTTGGTTATGCATTTTCAATAGATTAGTTATCCATAGGCACCCTTTTCAAGATCACTCGACTCTCAGGTAGATAATAAAGGTTCCTAAAAAATTTGCCGCTATGCGACCGGCGTCGGCCATGTCTACGCTCGCACCATGTCGTCATTCCAAGCGCTTGCGTGTCTAGCTTCCTTTCCTTCCGCTTTCCCGGGGTGGCGGTCCCGTAGCGCGTGACTATTTTCTGCCGGGTGGCGCTCCAGTCGCGCGTGTCTAGTTTTCTCCGGCTCCTCGGGGCGGGTCTGTGTCGTCTGCTAAACAGCTTCGCTGGCCATCCATCTTCACAATATGGAATAGCTCATGATTTTTTTTTATATATCATTTTACTTTACCCTATCCACGATGCGCGAGCAAGAAGGAGTTCTCGCATATCGTTTTCGCCATCCCGCAACCCTCTCCGCAACCCGCTACGATACCTGCAACTCTATAGTCAAGGTCATTGGCGCGCAGGCGCAGTAGCAGGTTCTTCGTTGCGGAGAACTTAGCGGAGGGGGAAACGCAGTCTACGAAAACTCCCCTAATAGCTCAGAGACCGGAAAGTTCAGGTCCAAGTCCTGCCTTCCGCCACCTTGTTGCATACCATTTACATGATTATCGAGTAAATTATGAGCTATGACCAAGTCTTAACTGCTCTTAGACGAAGTACACTCTAAGAAATGCCTGCGCCTCTACTTACCCGCAAAACACTCAAAGAGCCAGTCATTGCGATCTACGAAATCAGCTCAGCGAATGATGAGGCGGAACATCTGTTTAGACCTAAAAATGAAGTCTGCGCTGTGGCATTACGCAATGCAAGCATGACGCTTTGCATTGCGTAATGCTACAGCGCAGACTTCATTTTTAGGTCTAAACAGATGTTCCGCCTCATCATTCGCTGAGCTGACTTCGTAGATCGCAGAGATTGGCTCTTCGAGTGTTTTGCGGGTAAGTAGACGCGCAGATATTTCTTAAAGTGTAGTAATGCGAGTACTCATTGAGAAGGGTCAAGACATGAGACACTACTTTACGGGATAGCCTCATTAAGATTCCCTCTTCAGTGTAAAGTACCCTGGCGTCTGTACCCTAGTTCCTTCGGTTAATAAAGTAGATAAGCGGTTCTTTTTTACTTCAAACGTGTGAACGCAGATTTAATTGTTCGCGTAAAGTAAACAACCTTTTGCTTACTTTTAAAACTAAATCACGCAAATAGCAAGGTCCTCTGTAAGCCTGTAATGTGAATTACAAGAAATGCGTGCAAGTGCTCTCTTTTATGTTCATGTAAAGTTTCGCGTTTGCAATGCACCGAAAAACAATGCGCTTTTTTTTTTAGAACAGGTGACTTGGTATTTCGGTTCTCTCATCTTTTCGTAACGAGTGCTGCCACCCCTTGTTAACTGCATAAAATTATATAATTAAATAAATCAGTAAACGACAATCTTGCACACAGCTCCAGATTTCTTTTCAACCAAAAACATATTTCTGCTCTAAAAAAAATTGGTATTTAAAAAAAAAAAAGAAAATTGCTTTTGCAGGAGAAAAGTTTCTTTTACAAAAACAGCATTATCTACGGAAGAGATTTGTATTTTGAAAATTATATTTAATTCAACAAAAACAACTAAAATTTAGATAATAAATTTTGCTCTCTTCTATCTTAGCTTTAGGTAGTTCAAATCTTCACAGAAGCATATCGATTGCTACCGTCTTACATCCTTGTGGTGTAAAAAAAATACAACAGAACATTTTTTGGAAATGTTAGGCGTCAATTATCCGAGATCGTTATATTTAGGGCATGCACTTTAAAGAGCACGTATCCGACTCGAATTCTGCGTCAGCTTTCGGCGTAAACTCGAGTCCAAATCTATTAGACGCGAGTTCTGCGTCACCGCTCGATCTACGCTCGGGTCCAAACCTGTTGGACACGAGCCTTTCATCGACCTTCGGGCGCGAACTCGTGGCCAACCACAACCTCGCCCTGGAAGCGATGCCCGAAATGTGGCGATATTCGATGTCGCTTTGTGAACGGTCCAATCCAACTGTGCCACCCTCTGCTCGTTCCCTCCCAGCGGTGCAAGGAGCTGTTCCGGCCAGACATCGACATCAGCGCCGAGATCCGGGCACGGAAGCACCGGGAAAGCGGCACGGCGGCCACGGCCGTCTAAGGAACGTCCCTTGACCGCTTGCACGCGGCCCTTGCCTCCGAGGGAACGGGGGCTACGAGTCTTTGTATATTCGCCGAACCATCTCCCGCCAAGGGATCTCCGGAGGACGACGATGACGTCACGCTGGGCAGCCTATCTTGCGCGCATGCGCGCCACACCAAAAACCAAGATGGCCGCTAGTTGAGTATTGCTTCGTCATCGTCCCAGTGTCCTTTGACTCGTCCTGCTGGTGAAAGGCCCTCGGCGTTAATCCCGAACCTCCCGTGCGTCGAACGCCAATGGCGGTCGTTGCATCGTATAGCTTTTTTTCTTATTTTTTTTTTTAGAGCAATGTAATATGCTTCTACGCTCGAAACAAAAGTGTGTGAGTTGACTTTCCTGCACTACACGGAGGCGGCCATTCACGGCGAGCAATAGACGAATCCCAGAGAATCACGACGCTAAAAATATGATTAGTCACAAAAAAAAAAAAAAAAAATTCTGATTTTCCTTGCACGCATTGGAGTTTTCCAATCTCATAGTATACCGAGCTTATCATTCGCCGAGATCGTTCTGCCGTTCGCCGTGATTGGACGTCTCTGTGTTCTGCAGGAAAGCGAACTAACAGACCTTTCTTAGAGCGTGCGCCTAGTCGAGACAGGTGTTGCGTGTGTCCCTGTGGCCTGTTGGCTGGCTGTGTTTTGTGAATATCGGTTCTGAATCGTAATTATTGTTTTCATTTTTTTCAGTATAGGCAATGATGTATTTTGTTTTCTGTATTATCGCTTTTCGGTTCATACTTTCGAATGCTATACTGTATTATCCAAAGAGTGCACAAGTTATTTTCGCGGCCTAAAAATCTCATAAAACACATACTTTTTTTGTTTGTCATGTGGGTTGTTTGAGAAGGGCCCTGGACGTCCTCAGAAACCAAAACTTACAGCGAAGAAGCACTTCCCACCCGGTACGTTCTTAAAAGAAAAAAAAAAAAAACATTTAGGTGAACTGCCCATTGTTGAACTCAAAATTGATGACTTTGTGGTTTTCTCATCCGTTCCATGTAGAACCGTGAACACGCCATTATATCTAGCCTTTCATGCATTGTTTGTCCTCCATCACGCAACCTCGGTTGATAACTATGCGAGGTATACTATAGGGAGGTTGTCATTTTCCCTGTCACCTGGATCTCTAAGATTCACTTTTTATTCACTTTCTCTACATCTCACGCACAACTACTAAGTATCAAAGTTCACCTAAATATAACTTAAGCGTTTTTTTTTTTTCTGAACTTTACATAATAACAGCATAAAACGCCATTTCTTTTTCGTCGATATTTTTTTTTTATTATCACGGCTTCAACTGGATTACAACTCCATTTAATTCTGTAATCGAACTCTGTAATCAAGCGACTTACTACAGCCTAACCCAGTCACACAATCTAAAGTGATATGTGTGAGTTTCACGAGCACAATCCCGCACATGTGTTTTCTACAGGAGCTCGCTTGTTGTGTAGCGTTTTCTCTTAGATTTGCGTGTATCACAACTACAATGAATATAGTGAGATATCTGGTGTTACTGCAAGGTGCAAAAGTTAATATATATATATATATATAACACTTTCCAGACCCTATGCGTAATTGACTGTTCTATAGAGGACGATCTTTTACAAGAAAGACAGATACACCAAAACAATATCTTAGTGTCTACCAATAGCCTTTTCTATGGTCGGTATTGCTGTAAAGTCTATGATATCCGATGAAGCTGTCTCGTAGAACTGTCCACGTTAGCCGCGAAAGGAAAATGAGGGCATTAAGACATATCTATTTTAACTAAATATCTTTTAAAAATAAAAGATTGTACTAGAAGAAGAAAAAAAAAAAAACAAGATGGCCTGTTCACTTTAAACTTTTAAAAACTCGACTGCCTTGTTTAGTTATAGGCATAGACAAAAAAATATGCCTATATAGATCAAAGTCTCAGCCACACCAATGTAAATTTTTTATACCCAAGTTTTCATCGCGTCACAGTAGGTAGTACGAAAACTGAGAAAGATTTTATGGGTAAAATTTAGCAATGCCAGCATATATTTTTTTTTAACTTTGACTAGCACACAATGCGTCATCTTGCAAGTTAGCGATAAATACCTCAACCTTACATTCAGAGCACTTCACTTTTCAGAAGCAGCCTCCTAGATGAAACGATTGCACGTGATTTAGATGAGAATAAACGTAATGCATCACATTCATTTCGACCAATAATTCCAGCTCTTGTCAGAATACAGCCACGTTCTATCATGATCATTTATCGCGGTAGTTTGTTTTATTTGTTTGCATTTGATTTAGCCACTCTTTTATTTTAATTCAGGCTTTCTAATCACCAATCACAAAAAGAGCGGCTATAAATAAACCCCCAAAAAAAGTATTGTTGTCGATTTTCTTTAATCGACAGAAACCCAAACAGAAGTAAACATATTGTACGAATATCAGTTATCAAAGTTGTTGCTCTCAGAAGGACATTACGCGGTACACGCAATGAATATTTGTAAATGCTTTAAACTACAGTCCAATTTTCACGCGTGTCATCGCGTAACCTTCACACGCCCCACTTGACAGCGCGGGAGCACATTCTCTGTTCGCATGTGTCGCACATCATATAAAACACACAGTCACAACGTCTTCCATGTTCTAGAGGTCGCACCGGATCTGCCCCGTTGGCAACGCGGCTGACACATGACCGCTCTTCTTTTGTCCCAGGGTACATCCAGGAAGGACTGTTCGTTCACCCTTACCCGTACCGGACTTTGCCGGCTTTTGCGTGGACGTCTCTTTTCATATCAACCAGAAACCAATATATCTGCTCTCCGGTGCAGCCTTTTTGTAGAAACATCGATAAGCCACTTTTAACTTACCTTTCTTTAGAAGAGTAGCGACAATGATAAGTGCATTGTATACACACGTTCGTACCGGTCAGGCAAGTTGCCGGCTATGTATACCGTCTTCCAGACTCTTCATTGGATCCGTAAAGTGCGACCCAAACGTCTTCCGAAAAATGTCTTCCAAGCGAGCGAGTGAAAAAAAAAAAGGCTTGATTTCTTTGGTCTAAGCATAGACCAAAGATGGCTACGTTTTAACGAATAAACGACGCACGGAATCTGGAAAATGTAGAAGCGTTTAGCAGACACTAATCCGAACGTTCGAGACAACACCAAACAGAGCTTGTCCGTTGGCAACGCTAATTGTGCAGGCTGGGAACGTGTAGGCTGTGAGTCTCATCGAGTGGCAAAGACGTGTTTCACACGTTTCGCGAAGTCACTCACCACTTGACAAAATCAGGCAACACAAGTTCGTCCAATATTTAAGACATGTTTTCAGCATGATAGCAAGAAAGCAGAGGTCCGCTGCGTTGGAACTGGCACAATTCATGTAAAAAAACGGAACCGTCGAATATTATCTGAAGAAAAATACCAAAGTAAGTGCCAATATTACCTTAGAAGAAAAAACGTGAGCAAGCTGCAAACGAAAGTGAAGAGACTTCTCTGACTCGACCAGATATTTTTGAAGGGGAATTGATGCCACGAGACAGCCACGACTAGCGAGTTCTCGTCTTACATGCTTCCATATTTTTAAGAATCCACGTCTTCCACGAGGACCTTCCATGGAACTTCGAAACAAGCGGAAGGAAATCAAAGTTTTTGGAGAAAAAAAAAAATATCCTAAATTATCTCGATGTTCTTCCACGTCGATGTCTGGAAACCTTGCCACGTCATCTCTCGACAACCCTCCACTTTCTATTCTGTTCCATCTGAGCATGTCCTTGTAATGTTGTCGCTGCTTCCTTACTACGACGTTCCAAGTGAACAATGTTGTACTAGAGTGTGCAAGAAGTGGGGAGTATTATAACCAAGTAAAAAAAAAAATTCCCGCTGAGACGCTTGCGCTTGCGAAACAAACAAACAAACAAAAAACAAGTGTCGTCATTGTTACAGATTTGAACGCAGCGCTCTTTTTATCATTACTGTTCATTGCGCGATTTGGAGCATCAAGCTCTTCCAAACCCCAACCTCAAAACCGGCTTTGCGCAATAATAACCTGTCGCGCACTCGTTGAACGTGAAGATGGATGGCTGGATTCATACGACTAAACCCTTTCAAATGGAGCGGCGGCTCGCGCCACCTAGCCATAGAAAGCGTAACTAAGTAGAACCCTCAAGCGTGCCAGTGTACGCTGACTTTTGCGATGTTGCGAGCAGGCACCAAAAATGGCGTGGCTGTCGTGTTTTATTTTTATGTATATGTTACGCGTTTACACCGAGCGCGTCAGGGAACTAGCGCTGTACACGACACTTTTCCTGCTTTAGCGTCTACCCAAACCGTGCTCTCTGAAACCGGTGCCAGGTTACCATCGTACGCGTGGACTCGTCGGGTCCACGGGGCGATGGTAGTGGGCCGCCAGAGCTCGAGCACTATACTTGATCTGAACCGTATACAACATTCAGACAGGCGGCCGGCGCTCTGTGGTTCAGTGTGACGCTCGAAGTTTCGGTTAGGCTTAAAAAAAGATATGACGCTTTGGCGCGTTTCTTGGAAGCCCCAGCGTATATAACCTCGATTTTCTGCGAGGCAGAAAATCGATGTTTCATTCTTTACCAAAAGTGCGAGGGTATATTGTACGCGTTCGCAAGTAGGGCCACTGACAATACCGCCTCGAAGACAAGGCCTGTGCGTGACGTCATCGTTCATGGATCCTCGACCCCCCTAAGCGGCAACATGTCGAAGATCGACGAGGTACACGCCGCCAAGTGAAAGACGCGTGCGTCTTGGCGTCACTAGGTGGCGCTGTGTGGATCCACCAGGGATGACGCAGCGGAAAAAAAAGCCCCAGCCTTGTCTTTCAGCCGGTATTGCAAAGAGACGAGAACCGGAAAGGGTCTCACACTCTCGGATAAAATCCCTCACGAAATGCTACAGTCCCGTTCGAAAACTTGTTAAACGTATTTTACATGTATTTTCGTGCTACCAATGTGCCGTCTTGATGTTTGTTCGCGCGGTATAAAAATACTGGTGTTGTGTGAAGCTCCTTATGTCCGAGGTTTGGTTTTTATTGTTATTTTTTTTTTCTTATTATTGTGATTTTATTTCGTCCGGACCACTGGTTATGCTTGGGTATATGTCGGCGACATATTTAGTGCACTGTATCGTTATTTTTTGCTTGTATTATAAAAGCTTCAGATCTAGTTACTGTGAGTTCGTTAAAAGTGCTCATGTGCTTTGAATCGTACGTTTGAATACATTAAGTTCTCTTCGCTGTGTATCCCATTACATCAGGTAGGTTGTAATAAAAAAAAAAAGTAATAACTCCCAGCATGCGAAGGGATCTGCTGGTTTCGGAAGTGTAATAATAAACTATATCTACGAAATAAAAAAAAAACTGTGCAACTGTTCCTCAAATTATTCAAATCCGATTCTTTGCAAGCCATAGCAGATCGAAATATATGTACTATCCAAGCGACTCGAAACAACTTTGAAAGCATAACTTACTTGCCAAAACTATTTATTTTCTTGCAGTTCTATAACGAATAACCATTTGGTATATATTAAAATATTTGATAAAATTGGGGTTTTGATTTGTTTTCTTTTTTTACTTTGTGACTGAATTGTGTTTTAGTATCGTCAATTTCCATAGTTCAAGCAATATGTCCTTGAGTGTGAAATTTTCGCGGTCCAAGTCTGTTTGTATTATGTGTAAACTGATCTAGTGACGTCATCTTGCCCTAGTATAATAAAGATCGTTAACTCATTACTGCGAGTCCTCTGTCGTCAGTGTGAAATCCCTGCGTCCTGCCTAAGGAGAGATAGGAGAGAGAGGAGGGGGATATATGCAGGCTTGCATGACATATGCTTAGCAAGAGAAACCAGTTATTCCATTTTATAGTCATTGATAACTTTCATGGAGTAGTCATACAAGTGCTTCTGTTACTCTCTGAAATACTAAACCTCTGGGAATTCTCACTTTTGTTCCCTTCAGAGCTATGCAAATCATTGATTTTTATTGGTGTATTTCCGCGAAGGCAGCTAACTTGAAGGGACACTGCAATGAAAACATAATTTCTTTTTAAGGGGACACGTATATATATATATATATATATATATATATATAAGTCAAAGATGCCTACTGTCGGAGTTACTAATTCAAAGTTTATTACGACGTTTCGAGCGGGGACCGCTTCACCTGATGAAGAGCGGTCCCCGCTCGAAACGTCGTAATAAACTTCGAATTAGTAACTCCGACATCTTTGACTTATTAACTTTTCCCGGTCCATTGTTTTTATATTTACCTTACTTTATATATATATATATATATATATATATATATATATATATATATGGGTGGTTTCATCTCAAATCGTGCAGGCAAAAAGGGTCGAATTTTTAATTTCGATGAAAAAAATATATGTTATGGCGCCGTCTCTAAAACCGCAGTCGACACAAACCGCAAGTTCGTCGGATTTTTTGTTCTCGACTTATGAATTTTTAAAGAGGCCGCGGCGAAAAGCAGTGTTTTTCACACCCGTCGTGGGTCGGATGTTTCGCTTGATCTCCCGCCATGGATTTTCAGTCCACATTATATTATCTTTTTTGGAGCACTCTGTGGACACATTTAAAAGGCTCCAATACCATGAAATAATTTTAGGCCTTTTGCTTTTTTTCTGTAAAAATGTCAAAAACGCCTCCTCGGTCAATTGTTGACGAACTTTGACAATTAATTACTGGCGATCTACTTGGGTTACACCGATATTTTTTATGTCCACGGAGAGCCCAAAACACGCTATTTATATTTATAATAAAATGCCTTGGCTGTATAAAATATCCTTTGCGGTACGTTTACGTTAATGTTATGCAAAAACCAAAAAGTACCATTTTTGAAATCGATTTTCTCAAAAAACCCATTTTTTATTTTTTTCATTTTTTGTTCAAATGTAGATATGATTGTTGTCTACACAAAAATCAAGCCTAGAAAGTGTATATTTTGTTTGTATGTTCTACATTTAAGCGTCAATATCGCACAAAAACGTGTTTTTACGGCTAGAAATGGACTTGCGAATTGCGCGTCTTTACAAGTTGGAAATAGTTTTTTTTATTTTTTTTCAACGTTCCCACATAAAAATGAAATACAGTATTTCCACCCTGATATATTTATTGATTATTTAAATTTTATTATAGGCGGCAAGCTACATCGGAGGAGTTCCAAAAAGAGAAAGCGACACTTCTTAACAGACCAGCAGGTGTCGTAAATTTTTAACGTGTAGGAGTCGGCAGACGTCTTATTCATTCGGGGCCGTCATTGGCCTGCATGAACGTCCCACCCTTTCAGAGCCAGCAGATGACCACGACCTTTCGCGCTCGTTGTGTTAGATGGGACGGCCCGTGACAGTAAAGCGAGCAGCGCACCCTGTGTCACGAGGAGTGAAATGGTACGATTCTGTCGTTGACGCGGCGAACACTGACAGTCACCCAGGAGGAGTCTGTCAGAGTATTGCCCAAGGGAAAGCAAAGGAATCGTTGCCTGAAAGGATGAGGACACCACGGCCTTACAATGTCGACGGTCAACAACTGTTCTGCCAGCCAAAACAACGCCGCGTGCGCGCTAAAACCGGCGGCGCGGGACAGAAATCCCGCAGACGCACACACGAAGATGGGCCGGTTTCGTTAGGGATGTGGGGAAATTTGAAACCAGCCATCCGTGCATGCGTGAAACGATACCACATGTTTGCCCTAGCTTCGAGCGCCCTATCCTTACCTTGAAACGGCCGTGCTCTCTCTCTCTCTCCGGGGAGATCCGATAGCACCGAAGGGTTATCTATTAAACTTGAGGAAGAAAACGAGAAGGGAGTGTTTAATAGCGAGTTCGTTTCACGGCACTCGTGCCCACGCGTGCCCACTCGCAGCGTGGAATGGGTTCGTTTCGGCCGGCACTCCACGAGTGGTTGCACTCTCCGAGTTCGTTTCAGCGCTGACACCCCACGCGTGCATGCACTCGCTGCACCGAGAAAATCGGGAGTGCGCCAAAATGCAATCCCGTCATGCCTCGCTCCGGTGGGGCCGGCGAGGAGCGGGAGCAGACGACGAGGGTTCGTCTGCTACAATGTGTCGCGGAACCGAACGGAAAAAAAAAAAAAAAAAAGAGAAGATTTTTTTATAGAAATCGCGTCCCGCGGGCAACGAAATCAAACGCGAGCTTGAATTGTGAGCGTCTGCTATTTCAGGAAGGAAGCAATTGACAACCCGTGATTTATTTCAGGTTTTAAATCGCTCTGTTGCCGCACAAACGCTGAAATATGCCAGTGTGTAAAGAAATGCTCAGAACAAACGCAACAGCGGCCCCCGAGATGTCTATCACCATCCGTGTGCGGGTGAAAAATTTAACATTTGTCGACAAAACTCCCCCAGCAGAAACCTCTGACTGCCCAATAAGCATCAGAGAAAGCTAAAGATGGAGACTTTACCCGAGGATTGGGCAACATCATCATGTTTAACGTTTACCTACGTCAGCTAACTTGCCCCGTCGTATTTTGTTCGAGAAAGCTCTCGTTCTCGACGCCCTCACCAAGGCTAATATCTAATCCTGACGATCCAAATCGAAAGTCCCAGTTTTGCTGGATATTCCAACAGGCTAGTTTTAAGCCGTACCCTTTCAGTGGTTCACGAATAATACCATGCTCAGACGGATCAAGCTTCTGCTCGGACAGCATCATCAGTTTTCTTCAGTGTAAACGGTTATAAGAATTGAAAGATCGCAACCAGCTGCTTTGTAGACAGCTGGTTGCGGAAATTTACGCCGTCTGTAATTATCTCTACGGCAGCCTAGCTGCTTGAAGTCACCGCACCTATAAACTACAGGTTGCAGCGACCAACGTTTGTAGATAAACGTTGGTAGCGACTGCATTTCTCGCATTCCCACGCATCACTCCGAACAGAAAGGCTCTAGTTTCGGTTTGAAGTCGGTACCTTTTCTACAACATAGATGGCGGCAGCGTCAGTCTTCTGCACTCGGTGCATTTGGCGAGTTCGTTTGAGTAGTTTGAGTCCAGTTTTCCGTGCAACACTCCGTGAGTGCGATGCATTCTGGGAGAGAACTCGAACGGTGCCAGTGCGTGTGAAACGAACTCGCTATAAGTTTCATTATCCCCACCAACCCGCTCGTTCTGTCCTTATAAAGGGTTATCTCTTTTGGAAACAGCAAAGCCCGGAGACTGACATTAAAACGAGCGTGTTGGTAAATATACTTGTGTTTGTATTCTGCCCGGAGACTAGTTGGGTCGAAGTCAGCCTCCTTGTCAACTATAACCGTTTGTGAAGAGTGGGCTTCTCCCGAGATGAAACGTTAGCGCCGGCTGACATGTTCTTTTGAAAAAGGGAAGGGGAAAGAGAAAGAAACTACCTCGAAAGCTCCTCTCCCGATATGAAGCTTGAAGCATAGTCTCGGTTACCTTCTCGCGCATCGCCTGCTCGAATCTATTCTTCACTTTCTTCCGTACAGCCACTGTTCCGCACAGCCGTCGTGGATGTGCGTAATAGAGGGAGGAACAGATTCGAGCATCATCTGGACGCCGTCATCATGCCAAACTTCAATGCCGTGGGACCGACTCGTGTGAGTTTCTTCGCCCCGCTGAACTTTGTTTCTCGGGTGCGGTTTTTTCTGAACGTTTTCTTTTGTTTGCTTTTGTTTTTCAATGTTTTCTTACTAACTGTTTGTTAGCACTGTTCAGTTGTTGGGTTTATTTCGTCACAACGTAGCGGCCTGGCGGTGATGTAGAGAGCGTGTTCGCACGCATTTGGTTGTGTCCCGTTTAGGGAATGCCCGGGGGAGTTGGTTTTTGTTCTTGCCATGTGCGGCTGAGTTTTCCCGTCTTTATTAAATTATTGATTTTTTGTTTGTTTTACCTTTACGTGCCGTCGACTTCTTTGACTCTCCACCAGGCGTGGACCTATCGCCTTGCCACCGCTCGAACCTAAATACTTTTTTTTTTTTTAACGCAATTTTCGTTAAGATTGGAGTTGGGCAATTCAATTCCTATTTATTTATTTTTATATCCTACCCCTCTCCATGTCACACTCTCTGTGTGTTTCGGACCGTTTCTGTGTCACCACTTTTGTGTATTACGGAAGTGAAAGGACATTCCCTGGTGACCTGTGCGATGTGCGGTGAACAAGCCCCAGTGTTTAGTTTCGTAAAGAATTGTATATAATATATCGACGGATGTGCTGACTTTCTTTGTCTTAGTAATATGACAGCTAATAGCTAGTCGTGCTAGTTTACATTGAAAGGTTTATAAATCGAAACAATACAACGTCTGTGCCTTTTGGTTATTGAAAGTCTACTAGGCCTGCTCATTTGGTTAGATATGTATCTCATGGTTCCCGCTCCTATCAAAACATACATAAATATTCAATACCACAAAATCCGTTTATAATTGATTACAAAATGCAGAAGAAAATTCAAGAAAACTTTTTCACAATTCATAGACACGCATGGGTCGCTATGTCTGACTTAGGTCTTGCAAAACAAAGACGTCTTTTTCCGATATTCAGGCCTAAATATAAAACATGCAAACAAAATATACACTTTCTAGGCTTGATTTTCGTGTAGACAACTATCATATCTACATTTGAACAAAAAATGAAAAAAATAAAAAATGGGTTTTTTGAGAAAATCAATTTCAAAAATGGTACTTTTTGGTTTTTGCATAACATTAACGTAAAGGTACCGCAAAGGATATTTTATACAGCCAAGGCATTTTATTATAAATA